AGTTAGCATAAATCAGTTAAATGACGAAAAATTAGGTGTCTATTTACTTGTGACCACTCAGGGTATATTAACTAAAATACATAACAGGCGCTACTGTTTACCATATAGATTTTAACGACTACAGTGGCTTTAATAAGTATTATAAACGTTTTTAGTATTGCTTAAGAATGTTTATTAAATTTCGAAGACAAACAGTTCTTCATGTGAAGAATAGTTACTCTGAAGTTCAAGGTACTTTTTCTTATTTAACAGGCGAGTAAGGTAAGATGTTAGTGTCTAAGGGGTAACCTTTAAGCTTTCTTTTAACGTGTTTTATTTTAATATACATATGCATGTATCTTATTTTTTGAAGGTTGTACAAATGGTTACATTACCTTCGAATTGATAACGGGCTTTGTGTACTCTGCATCCGAAGACACGCTGGATATAGCTCCTGGGACACTCATGTTAACAGAGTGTTTACGACTCTGTCAAAATAACGCCACCTGCCAGTCTATTAATTTCGAAACAGGTCTCTGTGTGCTCTTTTCGTCCAGCGCCACCCAGCGGCCGGCAGCACTAAAAACATCTCATTTTCCTGTCTTTACCATGTATGCACATAAAGTGTGCTTATTAGGTATGTAGACAGTTAATGTTTATTTTGAATGTAACATTTAAAATATTGAAAGACTGTAACCTTTAAATATAAAACGTAGTCACTTATAAATACAGCATTTCTGTTCTATTGTTAATAGAGTAGGGTAAAATAATGTTCTATAGTTAGGAGGTTATCTGTTGGAACTAAACATGTAATTTTTTAAAATAATGAAAATATAAAAACCTTTAATTTAATGTCATGCTTCTGACTCGAATAACGTGATAACAAGAACTGTTTGTGTCAAAATTTATTTTGTTAACTTTTAATTTTGTGCTACTTGAATTCGTGTGCACTTGCCACCAAGGTTCATATTATGATACAGAGGTGGCTACAGAAATTAAGTTATTACTACTTACGTGGCCAAAATGGGCGCTGCGCTTTCTTTGCGGCCACAGTTACTGAATCACGCATCTATCATCGTTAATAACTATTCTAATAATGTAACCAAATAATTACCTGTAATTTATTATTCGAAGGATAAGGAGAATATTAGATAATGAGATTTAAATTACTTAGCGATTCTTCTAGCAGCTTTAATTCTTCTAATGACAACTACATATCTGGTTCGTATTTCACATGACAATTAGAATAATGTATTGTTTGGTAACACTGATTTTATTGCGCCTGAGACACGTTTATGACGCATTGTGTTTGTGCAAAAGGCGTTTGAGGTGTCATGGAAGCTATGTATGGTGAACATAAACGTTTATTCGAAGTGATTTCAGAACCTCAGAGATATTTTGTTGTTTGTAATATAATTAATTATCAACTCAAACATTTAACGCTTTAAACGTACGTGGCTGTTCTAGCACCCCTCTCTTACGTAGCGCCAAAATTTGAAAACTCGTGTTCCTTTGCATGAAATCAAAGAAAAAAAGTGTTGTTTGATGTTCATATTGTCAAATGGCAGTTGAAAATACTAAGTCATTATTCAAGCGCGACTAATCTGAATGATGGGAAGAAAACAAATTACTACGTTTAAAATGTTACTTTTTGTTTTCTTAACGTGCTGCGCAGCTCATGAAATGTCCTATTAAAACAGGTTTTAATTTAAGTAACTATCTTGTATCAACTACAATAGCTTTACAGTTTTAAAAAAAGTTCTCGTTAGTAGTAAGATTTCGTAAATTGTTTTCATTAAAAAAATACATTTACTATGTACCAGTTATTTTAATGTAATTTGAAAAATAAAAGTTTGTTTTTACTATATATCTTAAATACATGCATATTTTTAAATCGGAAGTTCATATCTCTTGTTTCAACCAATAGTCCATCCTTCGAATCATCCATTGATGATTTAATAGTGTGTTGTAATTCTAGGTATTAAGCCCTGTAATAGATACTGGATGTTTGAACGGGTTAAAGGTCACATACTCCGAGATTTGACCCGTAAGACGTATTCAGCCACATCAAGAGAAGCATGCATTGAGAAATGTTTCCAAGAGCGAAATTTTCAGTGTCGTTCTGCTAACTTTGACCCCTCTACCGGTGAATGTGCCATTAGCGATATGGACAGACATTCCGTTCCTGATGAAAGCAGGTATTTTGCGCCATCTAACGACAGAATTGAGTACTTGGAAAACAACTGTGTTGACGGTAAGAGAAAATTTCGTGGTGGTGTCGAATTTTTAGAAACACTCTCGTTCTGAAGGAGAGTTCGAGACTATTCAGCTTTCAAGCAGACTAGTTTTCAGATTTTCTTTATCTCAGTATATAACTTGTAAAATCATCTAACATTAAATGACAAAATCCACATCATAACCAGTAACAGTTTTTTTATTTTTTTTTACTTTACTTCTTGCTTGGATTGTATGTTTATTCCTTTGAATCAATCTACTTGCTCATCTGTTACACTTGTGATTTTATTCAAATAATAGAAGCCGGCTTAAGTATTGTAATTTTTATAAATAATCTACTGGAGTTAAAGGCCATATTTATTCTGTGTGTATATTTTGTGTCATATGGTTATTGACAATTGCTTGTTAATATTTACAATAACCCATTAGAAAAAGAAACATGAGGTATCGGAAATATTTTATTTATTTATTACTCTACAGAAGGCGTAAGACTATGTGAATTTCAAAAAGTGAATGGAAGAATTATAAAAACAGTGGACGCCGTCTTTGAGAATATCACATCACTAGAAGAATGCCGGAAGATGTGCATGAGCGTCCCCTACCGGTGTCATTCTTTTGATATGAGTGATCCAGCTAGCCGAGTCTGTCGGCTAAGCCACCACGATTCGGCCTCACTTGCACATATTAAAAACCCTTACCTTGAGTCGGCGGGAGTAACGACCTACGAGTTATCTGCTTGCTATAACGGTAAGATTTCAATATTACCTCAATGGTACTCTCGAAAATACTCAATACTTTCTGAAAACCAAAGTTATTCGAACTTACCTTAGAAAAAATAATGTATCTGTAGTTTAGTAGTTCTTAAAAGATTAGCTTTATTCTTTATTTTGTATAAATGAAAGTATTTAATTATGTGAAAAAAAAAAAGAATTATTAATGTTGTATAATTGTATAATGTTCTTTCATACTGTTACGTCTCCGTTCGTAAGTTAATTTTCCGTAAATTTCCAGTTCCGACGAAATTTTAGCGACACAAGCCCTTTCTTAAAACTGGTTTATTCTTTCTGAATACAACTTTGCAATACACTTAATATACACAGTCGCGCTATAACAAACGCTATAATTCACAACGAACGTCTCACGTGCTCAAGTCAACAATACTCTGTCCGCAGTTCAATTACACATTGTTCC